TTTTGCACATTACAATAGTCTCTTTGGCTTAGATATTTGTTGGCTGATGCCTGTCTCTGAAAATGAGTTTCTAAATTTCAGTAATTCCCAATCTGTCTAGTACCAGTAGCATGCCTGATGAAAGACTGTATTTTGGTTAGATGGATTGTATCCTGGGCTCGTAAGCACTAGGCACAGTACAATCACTCTGCAAGGTTCTTGACAGGAAAGCTATGTGTGCACTCTGTACAGTTCCTTTTGATGTTTTGGTTAGCTCACCCCAACTAATTATTACCTGACTTTGTGCCAATATGGAATACAAAACATTTCTCTCTCTTTTTCCCCCCGAGAGCAATTTCTGCTGCAGATTTCTAGGAGGGAAGCATGGCCTTTCCATGAAGGAAAGTGATTTGTATTTTCCACAAAACATGTGAAGGTACAGGTCCTTGTGTCTGGTCCCCACTTGTGTCTGTTCCTCCCCTCCATATAACTTAAGTCTTTTGTGGTTCTTGCTTTTTAAAGAACAAAATTTAAAGGCAGTGAGAGAAAACAGTGGCTACAGTAAAGGGGAAACAAGTGGCTGAGAAAAAACTTTGGCTGGTGTGGAACAAAGTGAGAAACAGAAGAGTTATTGAGAGGAGAGAAAGAAGGAAAGCTGAGTGAGGTCACTGCTGTGACAGGGTAAGAAAAAGTTGAAATATGTCTCTGTGACAACAATTGCTTTGGACATGAGCAGCCATCAGCAGTGTAGCAGCACAGACCAAAAAATAAAAATTGTCTTTTTTGATGTCCTAAATTACAGTAGCCATATATTCAACCAGATATCAATTAAGCAGGCAGTGTATCATCAATGCACAGCCAAGTATCACCTTTGTGAGAACACATGTAAACCACATGTTTAACACAACTCCATCTTCCAATGCAATTCACAAAGACTTGTCTAAAGGCCTACTGCACAAGTCTCCTCCCATTATTACTTATCTAGGAGATACTTAGGGCCTCTGAGATGATCCATAACTCATCTTTTTCTTAGAGTGCTGTTTGATATCGTTCTGAGACAGACAAATCTTCTTTAGCATAAACTTTTATGGTCTTCTTTTTCCTCTGTTCCCTGTAGACTCCACTCCATGGCTTGACTGCTAGCTCTGATATCTGATTTCCTCAGGCAGTGGCTAATCCATTTCCACTTTCCTTAACAGTAGCTTTCATGTGTCTCCCTGTACTACACTGTGCCCTCATTTGTCATCCATCCAACCATCCATTACTGTCTAAAATGTGGAGACATAGCAATGTTTAGAAATATTCTCATCAGTTCCTTTGTGGTCCCCAGTGTCTCTGACCTGTTCAATAAAATTTCCTTTACATTTCTGTTCAGAATTAAAGTTTACTTCTCCATTAATCTTAATTTACACATCACTTTGAAACAGTAAAAGCAACAGGTTCCCCTCCAGTCCCAGTACTATTATATCTTTTTATGTCATAGCATCAAACTCACAAAGTTTTCAGCCTGAATGACTGCTTCTGCAATCTGTGTGTTTTGTTAGATCATTCAATATTCTTTTTATCTTCCCTGCTCTATCAACTTCCAGCTTTGTAAGTCTGTGTGTTTCAGTTTCTTCCCATTGTCAGTCTCTGCAGTCACATGCCATCATGTCTGGTCAGTGATTCAGATACCACCTGTGAAATCTAGGTCTTCCAGGATTTTGACTGATGTTCACCATATCCCTGCCAATGATATTCCTCAATCAATGAATAGAAGAAGTAGCGAGAGTGTTCAAAAACCTGCTTATCTCAAAGTAGTCTCTGCTTTGAATGACTTAAAAGCTGCTTTCTCAATTACAGCATAAAAAACATTCCAAGCCATGAACAAAACCTTTAAAAACAAAACCACAGATCAAATGCATTCTCAGGGATTCTAAAATGTAGGTATGTATTTGAATACCACACGATGCCCTGTACAGTAGATGACATGTATTATATGACAAGATTACATGATCTTACCATCCCATTACTATTTCTGTATTCTGAATTTGACATCATTTCAAAATTAGGAATCCATTGGTTGTCTCAAATTCTCCAGACTGTTCTTGACAAGAACATGCTTGATACAGAAATAAGCTTTCTCCTTGAGGTATTTAATAAAGACAAGTCCTTCTACTCATGCCTAACATTTTCTGTTTTCTCCAAATTTTGCCAAGAAGTTTGCTTGTGGCAGGAGTAAAGGTTGGTGTCCTGTATGTAACAGCTAAGTTGCAATTCATCAGTTCCACAGACTGCGTTTTCATTGTGCAGGTTTGGAACCAGTTCCACAGACTGCGTTTTCATTGTGCAGGTTTGGAACAGCTTCCCACAATTCAGCATGTTTTTAAAACCCAGATCAAAACAAAGGCAAGAAAATGAAGAAGTGAAGAAGTGAAGAAAATGAAGAGGTTTGTATATTGATAGACAGAGCTATTGATTTTTTATTTTAGTTCCAGATCTTATTTTTTTTTACCATGTAAATGTTTAATGTGATCTTACTGATGAAATTTTGGCCCTCAAAGCCTGTCATCCTGCCAAAGC